GATGTTAAAAAAACGAGGCTATTATGTTACATTAACATAAAAAAAAGCTTTTGTGTGAATGGTCATTGAAATAATGGTAAATCATTGATAACACTAAGTTATGAATATATTTATATATTGAAAGACTATTACATATATGTAGTAGGTTTTCCTAATAAATTTATCGGTAAAATCCTCACTGATAGCATCGTGGCAACCAACCCGAAGTACAATTTGTACTTCGTAATAAACTTGAAAAGAGAAAATTAATGAATAAGGTATTGTTCAAATACAATCAAAGCTGTAAAATTTTGTGCTTTAATTACATTTCAGTTATTTTTCTGAATACAGTCCTTTGTATCAAATACTCGACCTATTCATAGGGCGTTAAAAGCTAATTTTTACACAGGTACTTGAGTCTTGGTTTATAAATACGTATGTACCTTATTGATAGATGTATGTAAAAAAAAAAAGTAAAGTACATTTTTTACATATCGATAAGGTACATACATATTTATAAAGCAAGACCAAAGTACCAGTGAATTTTAACCCCCCCCCCCCCCAAAATCAATTTATCAGTAAAGTGCGCATATTCGCTGCTTTTATCCTTGAGGGAAATGAAATAAGAGCATCTGAAGTACAATATCCATAACATAGTGTAACAGATTTCACAATAAACGCCAATTAATGAAATTGTTTTTTTTTTCTTCAAATTTTCACAAATGGGGAGGGGGGTGGGTGGGTTGGAAACGTACATCTACTTCATGCAGGATTTTGAACAAAGTATTTAGGGGCCATATCGCTCACCTGAGCACTGTGGTTAGGAAAAAAGCAAAAATCAGTTTAGTATTGCAATGCTTAAATGTATAAGTGGTCCCGACCTACCCCTAAAAGGGAGGGGGTATGATTTGAACAAAATTGAATCTACACTAACTAAGGATGCTTACATATTTTTTTTTTTTTGGACTAACTGTGACTTTTTTCCTACAAGTTTAAACTTTCATTGTGGCCCCTACCTACCCCTGAGGGGTCATAATTTGATCAAACTTGAATCTACATATCTGAGGATGCTTCCATATAAATATGACCAATCATGGCTTTCCTGTTCTTGAAAAGAAGGTTTTTAAAGATTTTCCCTATGTATTCCTATATAGACTCACCCTACCCACGGGGGTCATGATTTGAACAAACCTGAATCAACACTACCTGAGAATGCTTCTATATAAATATGACTAAGCAAGACTTTGCTGTTCTTGAGAAGATTTTTAAAGATTTTCCCTATGTATTCCTATGTAAAACTTTGATCGCCACTGTGGCCCCACCCTACCCATGGGGGTCATTATTTGAACAAACTTGAATCTACACTACCTGAGGATGCTTCCATGTAAATATGACCAATCAAGGCTTTGCTGTTCTTGAGAAGATTTTTAAAGATTTTCCCTATGTATTCCTATGTAAAACTTTGATCGCCCACTGTGGCCCCACCCTGCCCCTGGGGATCATGATTTGAACAAACTTGAATCTACACTACCTGAGGATGCTTCCACATAAGTTTCATATTTTCTAACACAGTGGTTCTTGAGAAGATTTTTGAAAGATCCGTCTTGTTCACCCATCTTCTTTGTAACCACAGATTTCCAATCGAAGCATGCAGCAGCAAAACTGTAGTGTTATAGTTTTATATTTTAGTCTTTCAACATGACGCTACTGATCCCGTAATGCAAATTTGGTGCAATTTACGGTGCAAGATTTTCTGTGCACTTTGGCGATGTATTTCGCCACTTTCCAGCATAGGTCAATCAACTACTCTTTCATTCCCTAATTCTATAACCAATCTGTATATTTTATCCATCTCCGAACCCTTTCTAGTCGTCTCTACAGACCAATAAACTCGCTTGTTGTGAATTTGTTGTCGGATGGCATAAAATTCACAAGTTGTGAAAAAGTTTTCAAAAGGGGGGTGGGGTAACTTCCAAAAATAATCCGACAAGCAAAAAAAAAATTGTCAGTTCTCAACCTTACGGGAACAAAAAGTAGGGGGACCAACATCTAAATGAAAATTTGCTATAGGAAAATACTATACTCCCCCCCCCCCCGCGGTTTACGGGCCTTTTCATCTATTGTTTTTTTTTTTTTTTCAAAACCATAATTACTTAGAACTTTTTAGAACATTTTCACGAAGAAACAGTCTCAAAGTCATTCACAACAAGTAACTTTGAATGATTGCAATTAAACAACGACTAATCGATATTAAAATTTTCAACACCCAGGAATGGATCTGTCAAAGATTATCATTTGAATATTAGTAATGTCTGAATGAGTCATATACTAGTCTCATAAAAAGAATTTATCAAATGTAGTAAAACTCGCATATAACCCATTTAGAAATCACGGTTAGCCACGAGAACAAGGAAGATCATTACAGGTCGACGCGAGTGGGTGAATTAAAACCCGGCAGATCACACAAAGTGACCAACAAAATGATCGACAGCAGTTTGTTCGGACTGGAATTATTATTGGGTGACTCTTCAATTCAATTCAGTTAGTTTATGTTATATTTAGAGTACGAGTTTCCTACTGTATCGGAGATACAGGGCGGGGCTTAAGGCGAGAGCGATAGCTCGAGCCGGGGCCCGCCCTGTATCTCCGATACAGTAGGAAACGAGTATTCTAAATGACTTGTGACATGACCTTTCTTATGACCTCGCTAATTTACATGTGTTTTTGGATATATATCTCTCAACCAATCAGATGATTTTGCAGGAAGTTGATTTAGTACCCAATTTTTAGCAATCGCAACTGAAATGCCGAGTGAGGTGGACGTGCAGGTATCTATCAATTTAAATAATTATAATTATGAGATGCATTATATAATATTTTTTCCCAAAATTTAATTTATATTTGATTCCTTTCTATTTAGCTCTTGCTGACTTTTTTTTAAATGTAAGCTACGAATTTAGTGCAAATTCAGTTTTCCGTCATCGCTAAAAATAAATCATACTGTATCGTTGATATTTTGCAGATACAGTACAGTTTCTGCTCATTTGCATAAGAAACGCCTACTAAAAGTGTTCTGTATCGCAGTTATTTTACGGCTGACTTCAAAGGAAAACTCGCCGGGTCATGTCACAATGACCAATTAAGGGCCCTTAAAAGGTATGAAAGAAAGTACAATTGTTAATATTCATATACAGTGATGTACATGTAATACAATATACATATACACAAGTTGTGACACGTGTTCTGTACGATTAGCGAGTATTAGCAATACAGAACGGGAAAACAGTGGGCGGAGCTACTTTCCGCTCTGTATTAGCCCTGTATACGGTCTTGTATTAGCCAACTGTTCTGTATCTAAAATACAGCACAGTCTAAAAATAAATCTGATTCAATTTATCAAAAGCACGTACAAATAGTAAATGCTGATTTTTTTCCTATTATAAATTTTGAAGAAATATTTCCTTAGGAATGTAAAATGTCAAAATTTCTCAATCACTTTTAAAAAAATTATTCCACACAGAATCTACACGTTATTTCGATTCAAACGAAAAGGAAAATTCGCAATTATGGAAAACATCCTATGTTGGATAAATTCCTGAAAACCTGTTTGCTTTCCCTGCTTTTTGTGTCCCCTTCAAAATAGTAAAGCAAATGGGTTAGCGGATGCAGCATATATTAGGTGAAATTCGCACTCCCCCTCCCCCCACTTTCCACTCTTCTCGTGCAAACTAAAGTCCATTTTTCAGGTGTTTTTTTTTAATTTCATCTTAAATCCTTATCGCTGACGACTGCCGCACATCTCTTTCACTTCGTTTTTTATGTCGCATTTCAATAAAAAAATAAAAATCCGTAACATCAAAGTCCATAGAAAAACTGTCTGCATCGCCTGTATGTGTATGTGTATCTATAGTTAACTGAGATTTTAAGATCCCTGAAATAAATACGGATCAATCTCCATTTACAACAAGGTTAAATCGTCCACCTTATCAATTAAGACCGACTTCAAGTCTGTTACGTCTACCCCGTTGTCAAAACTAATCTGACTAACTCTTACGTTGTCTGTTGGATATATATATATATATATATATATATATATATATATATATATATATCTATATAAATCTATCTATCTATCTATCTATATATAATATATATATATATATATATATATATATATATATATATATATATATATATATATATATATAGTGCGGATGTATACTCCCCGTCGAGGCCTCATCTACAGAGAGAACAAACGAACTCTGGCGGAAGTTTGGATGCTGCACAGCTATGAAGTGGGCAGTGCTTTTTTTGATTGATCGTGTCACTCTTTCTCTGTATTATTTAGAGAACTCTACAGGTTCTGTATCGTAGATACAAATTTGGGGGTGAAGACTCGTGCTACGCACTCGTCCACCCCCAAATTTGTATCTACGATACAGTACCTGTCTCGTTCTCTAAATAATACAGAGAAAGAGTTGTATATTTAAACATTTGTGGGCCGAACTTGTATATTGTCCGTGAGGAAGCCTGCTATTAATAATCCAGGTGACTTTTGCCGTTTATAACTATATGAATATTTTGAGTCTTTAATATCCTCTCAGAGAAGTTTTACTGCCTAGCACCAAACATTGCAAACATGTAATCACTGTGAAATATACATTGTACAGAAATAAAAAAAATTAAAAAATTACACCAAATTTTGGATCCCTCGAGTCACTTCGGTCCTGCGGTTCTTTAAAATTTAGAAGCATTACAGCTTGTTTGCAAAATGTACAGGTGTTAACAGATTTTCCCCCATTATCTTCTGCTGTGACTCACGTACAAAGCGCATCCTCGTCAAGCCATGCAACAACCCTTACGTATACATATATGTCTATTTAATGCTGGCAAACAAGCGCTCTTTCACTATGTATGTGTTCTTGTAATCATTATAAATAATAGATTTTCTTTTGAGTGAAACAAATAGGATGCAATTTGCTTCTTTTCTGCACATAAGAAAAACACATAAAATCAGTACCAGTACATAAATGTATATTCTTACTCAATGTTTTATTCAATATGATTCAGATTTAATTAAACATTGCCATCTTCTACATATTTAGAATACAGTGAAACCTGTCTAATACAGATGCTATGTATTTCGAAATCTTACCTAATATGATGTAAACTTTAAGTCCAATTAATTAAATTGTAAATTTACTTTCAGTAAATTGTAAATTTACTTGTTTATAATGTTTTCTAATCTTGAATGTTGGCTAATCTGGCCAATTTCTTTGGAACCAGTTATGTCCAGATTAGAAGTTTCACTGTATGATAAAAATCCTGTTACCATTTAAATATCCAGAATTCACTTTTATAGAAACAACACAGTACAGACCCTATGTAAATTGTAGAAAACTTTGTTAAAACTTCACTCCAATAAAATTTCACAAGATTTTTTACATTTGAAAACAAAATTCGCATCAATACAAGTAACAGGAAACTCATGACTTGTGAATGAATTCAATATGATTGATATGCTAAAATCAAATCATGCAAAAAAATAGAATGCTTTACAGAAGTTTGAATCTCGATAGTAGAATTTATACATCATGTCTTTCCTACATGAAATATTTCATTTTTAACACTTCACAATGACCAAGAGTGTAAAGCCTGCCAACTGACACATTCCCTGAATTTCTTGCTTCAAATTCCTTTTTACACAAATTTGAATTTCCTGCTTCAAATTCAAATTTGTGTAAAAAAAATTTACTACATATAGAAATACATAAACAAATCATAGACATGGGGTTATTGGGAATAAAATGAAAATAACAGTTTATAAAGTTTACGCACGTAAATGTACATTCATACATCTCCTTCTATGGGAAATCTTTGCTTATTTTGGCCCCTTTCACCCTTGTCATAAATGGGCGTATTTTAAATGGGCTGAATTCAAAAAAAGATATTATAATCTCTTTCACACAACTGTGTTTGGGCAAATTTGTTAGCAAGAGTGAAAGGATGAAAATAACATGGGGGACAAGAACCCTGTATAAAGTATTACTGCTATCAAATAGAGTTATTGTACATGTATAAGATTTTATACATAAATCTCCAGTACATTTGCATATGCCACACACCTGCTAACATGAACATCTAGATTTAAATTGTTCCATATAATAAAGCAAAATATGACTGTTCTATTTAAGCACATATGAATTTTAAGATAAAATAACACAAAGATATAGTACAAGAATTTGAATGCATTTCATGCATTCAGATTCTAGGATAATAAAGCACCCTCTCTCACTGTGTCCTTTGTACACTTCAATCCTGAAGTAACACATTTTCTAGGAACCCAAGAATTCTGGGCTGGGTGTCCCAGCAGTGTTTTAACACTTCTGATTGGATCTGGAATCAGTAATTTATCACACATCAGTTATTTATTACACCTCAGTCCTTGGCATCCCCGATTCCGTCAGCGTTAATAGCAAACATGGCCTCGGCCTCAGGTAAACACGGAGAGTCATAAATTTTACAGATCCTTGTCTCGCCTCTCCCTTTTCTTAGATATAACCTAAAAATAACAGTGTTTGAACAAATTTATATGAAATGTATAACAAAATGGTGATATTATAGATACATGCGCATGTATATTAATTTGTGATTCTACTCAATTTTTGCTAAAATCATTTCAGGGATCTTTCCTTGTGTAAACATTAACTTTTCATTATAATAAAACAATTTTTTGCTCTTTCTTCTTGAAAAAACACTTAATGACAAGATTTATCAGTTTAGTGGGGTATTTACTTTTCCAGTATATGGGTATCTGTTAAGGAGGCTCATTACACCCACAGTTTATTTTAGATTTCATTACAGCACCACTTATTATGAGGATTTCAAATATCCAAATGGAGGTTATGATACGATAAATATTTTTAAAAGATTTTTTAATTTTTTTTTCTGATTTTGGTTAAATGTTTTATTTCAAGTTTCTGATTGATAGTATTTCAGAAATCTCAGTGTCAGGTGATGGATATCATCTTCAGATACGTAAGCAATATAATAACACTTCATAATATTCAATATTATTTTTATTAGAAAATATAATTTTCTCCCAAAAAAGAATTAATGTGATTTTCTTCTTAATCTTTGCATGAATAATTTGGAAAATCAGTTATGAATAGACAAGGAATGTATATTAATGAATAACAACTGACAAATTGAATGAAAAATGCTTTAAGGAAATGAAAATTCCAATTCAAAAAATAATTAGAATAAAAAGTCCACTTGCAAGAGTTATCTTTCCTAAATCCCCCTGACTCAAAACACTCAGAAACGGTTGAACATATCAGATTCAGAATAAGCTAAAATTTCTAGAATAAATATACATTTTTCAAAGAAATAAAGACAAGCACACAAACCAACAAGAGTACAGTACTCTGAAAGCGCAAGTCAATTATGATTTATTTCAACGAGGTTGTAGATTTCAACTCGAATTTCCTCTATACGTACATGTTGTCAATGGTAGAACTTGCTGCTTTCGCTATGACATTTTACACTACTTGGGTAGCGAAGATTTGACTGTCATTCTCTTTGGTCTCTACTTAAAAATAACCCTTCTTCGTTTGGAATTTATAATGAATCCGTTACCTTGTTCTCGTTGTTTCGCATGTACTCTATTTTTAAAGCGTTTTAAAGATTTAGATCATCAGCAAAGCGAACCTGTACAATTCGTCCCAAGGAGAAAACGGACGAAACATTGGAGGTTTATTTTTCTGTATAGTACGTCATCAAAAAGTGGTGTAATGAGCCTCCTTAAGTTACTTTTCAATAAAACTACCTTTGTAATAAATGTGTATTTTTCAGTGTATGACAGTATAAAGGCAAAATAAAAACATTCAACACCACACTAAAAGCTCATTTTGTATACTTAGTTACTATGATGTATATACCTAGTAGTTGAAGCATGTGCTATGATGTTTCCCCCAATAGGCTTTTTAGGATCAGCAGTAAACATGGCCGCTCCATCAACCTGTGCTACAACCTGGTTGGTTATCACTACAGCAACTCCAAACTGAAAGTGTAATCAAACTTTTTCTGAACTGTGTCCAGATCTTCAATTTTTAGCTTGTGTTTTAAACTACATTTGAAGTAAAAAACCAATAATTATTTGGACCTTACAATTATTAGTTTAATATTACAAAACCAATAAATATTGCATAATGTTGTGAGTGATAAATGAAGGAAGTCAAATAAGAGATACAAGAGTTGTTACTGTCACCTGAGTAAGATGAGCTTTTCCACATACAGTACTCTCTGAGACAAAAGCCTTTTAGTCAATTGTACCTTCTTTCATATTCTTTTTTTTACAATTTTTTTTGCCCAAATAATTCATTCTCATTTTCATCAACAATACTACTTTTTTTTCCAGTGACCTCAAGTTTGGTAAATTTAAATGACCTCATGCTTGATCGTACCCAAAACAGAACTTGACCTAGATATTCTTATGATAAATCTGTATAATAAATTTCATCTCAGTATGTGCATCCTCTGCAAAGAAAATGAACGGAAACTGTTGGTGGACCGACAGACAGACAGACCGACAGACAGCAGCAAAGCAATATGCCCTCCCTTTTTCGAAGGGGGCATAATAAACATTTCTCAATACCTAGTTGATTATAAAATAATTTAATTTTTAAACATAGGTAATCAGAGATTACAGAGCTCACCTCAACGAATGTTGTCTTTAAGTAAGGCAAAGTCCCACACTAAACTAATAATCTAGGAGTGTGCATCCCTAGATGCAACATTTATGCAATTTAGGTTTGATAGGGCTTGCAGTTACTTGGGAATGGACTTATCTGAAAACTTAAAACTAGACACTCATTCAGAAAATGTAAGTCAAATCCAGCATCCGAAGCAAGTTTTGAGATTCTTCGTCCCTTGATGCATCATCCATGCAAGTTTGGTTCAGATAGGCCTTATAGTTACTTGGACATGAGATCTGCTCCAAAAACTTTAATCTGGTCACTCATCCGGAAAATATAGGTCAGATCCAGCATCTGAAGCAAGTCCAGTAGTGTGAATCCTAAGATGTATCATCCATGCAAGTTTGGTCAATATAGGGTTTATAGTTACTTGGATATGACCATCTGCTTCAAAAACTTTAACCTGGTCACTCATCCGGAAAATATAGGTCAGATCCAGCATCCGAAGCAAGTCCAGTAGTGTGCATCCTTAGATGTATCATCCATGCAAGTTTAGTCAATATAGGGCTTATAGTTACTTGGAAATGAGATCTGCTCCAAAAACTTTAACCTGGTTACTCATCTGGAAAATGTAGGTCAGATCCAGCATCCAAAGCAAGTCCAGTAGTGTACATCCTTATATGTATCATCCATGCAAGTTTGGTCAATATAGGGTTTATAGTTACTTGGAAATGACATCTGCTCCAAAAACTTTAACCTGGTCACTCATCCGGAAAATATAGGTCAGATCCAGCATCCAAAGCAAGTCCAGTAGTGTGTATCCTTAAATGTATCATCCATGCAAGTTTGGTCAATATAGGGCTTTTAGTTACTTGGAAATGAGATCTGCTCCAAAAACTTTAACCTGGATACTCATCCGGAAAATTTAGGTCAGATCCAGCATCCAAAGCAAGTCCAGTAGTGTACATCCTTATATGTATCATCCATGCAAGTTTGGTCAATATAGGGTTTATAGTTACTTGGAAATGACATCTGCTCCAAAAACTTTAACCTGGTCACTCATCCGGAAAATATAGGTCAGATTCAGCATCTGAAACAAGTCCAGTAGTGTGCATCCTTAAATGTATCATCCATGCAAGTTTGGTCAATATAGGGCTTTTAGTTACTTGGAAATGAGATCTGCTCCAAAAACTTTAACCTGGTCACTCATCTGGATAATATAGGTCAGATCCAGCATCCGAAGCAAGTCAAGTAGTGTGCATCCTTAAATGTATCATCCATGCAAGTTTGGTCAATATAGGGCTTTTAGTTACTTGGAAATAAGATCTGCTCCAAAAACTTTAACCTGGTCACTCATCCGGAAAATATAGGTCAGATCCAGCATCCGAAGCAAGTCAAGTAGTGTGCATCCTTAGATGTATCATCCATGCAAGTTTGGTCAATATAGGGCTTATAGTTACTTGGAAATGAGATCTACTCCAAAAACCTTAACCTAGTCACTCATCCGGAAAATGTAGGTCAGATCCAGCATCCGAAGCAAGTTCAGTAGTGTGCATCCTTAGATGTATCATTCATGCAAGTTTGGTCAATATAGGGCTTATAGTTACTTGGAAATGAGACCTGCTCCAAAAACTTAAACCTGCTCCAAAAACTTTAACCTGCTCCAAAAACATTAACCTGGTCATTCTTTAGCTGAAATTGCAGCATTTGAAACCTTGACTGGTACAATGAAACACACTAGAAGCATCCTCCATGCATCTCTGACTAATATAGGCCATAGAAGTACTTGAAACTGCTCCAAAAACCTTAACCTGGGACGCCGACGCCGAGGGTATTACATAAGCTCCCCCAACTTCATTGAGGTGAGCTAAAAATGCTTTTTGTTTCTGTTGATGATGCAAGCTGTGTGTATGTGGTCTGATTTGAGAACAGTCCTGACTTTTGATAGCTCCAAAGGCCAAGGGTTTGTGAGGAGAGTAGCAGATCAGAAACCCTTGTCTAGCGAAATGATGGCAGTCCATAATTTCAATTCCTTGAAGTGATAACATGATAATAATAATACTTGGGAAGTAAAATATCAGTAATTAAACATGCAGTCTGAGAGTATTGCATAAGCAGTCCCCTACAAGCAGATGTATTCTGGCCCCCCTTAAAAATCAAAAAAGTTGTAATTCACTCAAAAATTAAAAAAGTGGATCAAAATACAAACTTGATCTTTAAGGTAAACTTACAAACCAAATATCAGCTCATTATCTGCAAGCATTTGGGGGTGGGGGTGGGGGTGGGGGGGGGAGGGGGGGTTGAAAACTAAGTTGGAAATCTGGTTCCTCTCAAAAATGTAAAAGGCTGCAATTCCATCAAAATGCAAACTTGATCTTTAACTTATACATTCACATACCAAAAATCAATATAGTTCAACATCTACAAGTGTTGAGAAAGAGGACCTTATTTAATGGGTAGGGGACTAAAAAAATCATGGTAGTCCTCTTATCCTCACACAAATATCACAATTTTGGTAGACATGATATTGCTCATACAATCAACTGAAAGTTTAGTCACCATTAAAACAATTCTCCTCTTTTCTGACAAGTGATAACTGATAAGCATTGAAAATACTGTTCTTTTTACAGAACATATACATCAATTTTACCTCATCTGCTAGTCTCAGAAGCATCCTAAGGAAGCGAGCCAAGTGCATCTGTCTGGCTGACAACTCTCCTCTCCCTGAGTAATCTGTTCTGTACAAAGCTGTAGCACTGTCCACTATCAACAAGGCATACCTAAAGACAAACAGGCAAATGGAAAAAAAAAAAAGCAGATCCTCTAAATATATATATATAATCAATCTTGCTGGCCACAAGGAGGTTGAATAAAGAGTTAAGACTGTGAAGAGTTGTCTCCTAAAAGAAATGATTACATCCCCCTCCCCCCACTGCACTATTTAATCATTGCCATATCAATTACTGAATAGACAAAAGTATTTACAGTATCCAATGCATAAATATTGCACTGTATGTCATTTACTGAGCTTTTCAAAGGTACACTATAATGATAAAAATCTCGATATCTTCATCATGATATTTAGTGTAACATATTTGTTTTTGTATACAATTTCTTATTTCTATAACTTTATGATTGAAAGTTTACAAAAATTTAAGCTTATTTCATCTCTGCAGGTCACATTCATTTACCTCTACATTACTTGTTGTGAGCACAAGTATCCATCAAGACATGTTAGCAAAAACAGCAGTCACAGTGGTTACAGGGATTTATCAGCCTATTTTGGGAAACGCCATTTTTGGGGAATTGGGAAAAAATTATCGGCTTTTTTATGAAATTGGGAAAAATTTTAAAATATCGCTTAAATCATGTATTCAGGTGTAATTTATTTAACATTTCAGCAGGAACTCTAATTTGGGAAACCAAACAGACAATTAAATCCTAATTGATCCAACTTCATCAAACAAGATCAATTATGAATAATAGACTAATAAAAGTAAAATTGACTTCAATGAGTATAAAGTATATACCTATACAACTTAGGGTAGTACATGTGTGTATGAGATTCCAACTTAGGTCATTATAGAATATGTTTCTGGAGATTATAAACCTCCTGCAAAAAATTGTACTAAGTACACATTTTCTCAAAGTCCTTTTTTAATTAATATGTATTAAAACATTGAAAATATATTTTTCTATCTGAAATAATGCCTACAGTCCTTACCATTCACTCGTAGATCAATTGAGTAGGTGGAAATAACTTAATAAATCTATTCAATTACACAATATCACCTTTTTCAGAAAAACAGAGGAAATTCGGATTAAAAGTTGGCGATGTTTTTACAGTGTTTTTAAACATGTGTTATGACTGTAGCTTTGCTAAATGAGTTATATAGATGAAAATTACAGACAATCTGACAATTTTACTCTTTGTTTTTTCAAAGATAACGAAGTGTTAAAGTATTGTCATCAATTGGGAAAAAATACTGCCAAATTGGGAAAAACTGAACTCATTTTCAATTGTGAATGGGGCCGAATTTCGGCCCCTGAGAAGGTACTGATAAATCCCTGGGTTATATTTCAAATGGCAGCAAGATGGTATTTATTCCATCTTCATACATATGTTTATTCAAAGTTTCATTCAAATTTAGACAATAATCTTACAATAATCTGAATTTTTAAAAATATGAAGGTTTTTGAGTTTCAGAATTATGCAAATTATCTAGTGTATGCTGTAAACCAACTTTTATTTGTGTGCAGGAAATATCTGCATGTTTTGTGACTTTTTTTTACGTACAAATACTTCTCACTGGAAATCATTTATTTAACTGTGTATATATTTTTAACGTTTCCTTAGTTGCAAATAATACTTAGTTTACAGTATGAATTTTGTTAGATGTATACAATTAGTTTTGCTAAATCACAAAATGCAGATTCATTATTGTCATAATTCACTTTTCACCAAGTGATTACATTGTATTTACTTTCATTTCTTACAAATCCCAAGGTCAGCAATACTCACAGACATTGCATCATATTAGGAATGGCAATTGAATACAGAACTGCCAATCAGTTAACCGCAAGAAGTTCAGACAATTAATCAGTTAATCATATAAAAAATTCTCGACATATTTCATCACTGTAAGCTCTACTTAGCTGCAGAACTGTAGCATCATGGTTTTACATCTTAGTCTTTGACCATAACGCTACAGACCTTGTAATGTAATTAAAGTGCAATTTACAGTGCAAGATGTTCTGCACAGAGCTGGGGATGTATTTCTCCCTTTTTCAGCATTGGTCATTCCACTACCTTTCATTCCTTATAGACATATTCTTTTACCAACCTGTATATTTATCCACCTCCTAACCCTTTATAGTCTTTTTTACAGACCAGTAAATTCACTTGTTTTGAATTTTCTGTCTTCCGACAGCCATGTTTATGGTGTTCCCATAGGGCTATTTGCAAAAGTGTAACATCACGTTAGTAACAACGTGCTAGCATGTTTTTCACAGTGCGATGGCACCTAAATCACTTGCAAAGGTGCAACAATGCGTAAGTAAAAACGCACCGGCGCACAGTGACAATGTGCTAGCTCAAAGTGACAATGCGCCAGCAGGTTGTTTACAACACGCCGTCACGCTAACGCAACTTTACACAACATGCCATTGCGCTAAAACACAACATGCCGTCATGCTAACTCAACTTTACACAATGTGTTGTGTGTTAGTGTGACAGCATGTTGTGTAAAGTTGTGTAAGTGTGGCAGCATGTTTTGCGTTAGCGTGACGATGTTGTGTGTTAGCGTGATGGCTTGTTGTGTGTTAGCGCAACGGTGTGTTGTGAACAACACAGGAATTTGTATTCAAATTTACACATATATTAATTTCTCTCGACTAACTGATTGCCATTGTTCTGACTGAGTAACTGGTTAACTAATTACAAAATTGCCATCCCTATATCTAATGCATGCACTGGACAAAAAATTGCTGTTTGCAGGTTTGTTTGTACATGTATATTTCCTAAGATAAACATGACATACTTTAATACTGTTTCTATAAGACTTCTGGGCTGCATTTAAGAATATCAGTAAAAACTTATTTTTGGAACAAAAAGAGTTTATTTCAAGCTAAAATATATATGTAAATTTTATGTTTAATTCGCTAAGATGTAGAAAACAATCTCCCTTTTTGTTAAAATCTTGTGTGCTACAAAGTGTTAATTAGAAGGTCATCTTGAATTTGGTACTTAGCATCAAATATTATGCTAGCTCTCCCTAAGTAGCAGCTAGGCTAGCTTGACATTCAAGATTGTAGCATTACGTAGAGTCGCTATGCTTTTGAAACAACCCTGCTTATTACTTAAATATTTTATTAGCTTTTTTTCCAGGGGTTCATTCAAATGATAATTTACAATAGAAATTCTTAGAAATTACAGGTAAAACTGTGAATCTTTACAAAAGTCTTCTTGGCATCATTCTCAAACATTTATCTTTAATTACAATATTTCAAACCTTGATTCTGCCATCATGGCAGCAGCTTGTATCAAGAGTTGTGATTGGTGGTCACTGTTGTAGGCCCTGGCATAAGCCACATTGTCTAGTACATCACTGCCCGAAAGGCCATACCTTCAAATTCAAAAGAGGCAAATAGCTTCAGATTTAAACAAATCTATTTAAAGTATTATGTCTAACTTACACCTTGAAAACATAGCAAGGAACATCACTTCTATAATGAAGTATAACTATATCAGTTATCACACTGTACTTTTTTCCCTTTTATTCAATAAAAAAATGTTTGTAATATATGTCATGCTATATAGAAGATATTTTACTAAAACAAATTACAATGAAAATTACTGAATAACACTGATCAAAATAAAAACCTTTCAGCTACAGCAAGCAAACGCTCTGGACGAAAAGTTCCTTCTGTATCAACATACATAGCCTTTCCCTCTCCCCCTCCCATGTCAATGGGCAGCTAAAATGTTACAAGTCTTCAGAGTGAATGTATAGAATAAAAAAAAAACAAGCTTTTATAAAATTTTATATTTATTTTTGACAAATTACACACATATTTTTTCCAATAAATTAATGCATACATTTCATAGTATTGACACCCAAACTATTCAACATTCTTATAAAAATTGAATTCTTCAGTTTCATTTCTCATTCAATATGATTCTTCAAACAAAAAAATCTAAAAAAAAAAAAAAAAAAAAAAGACTTCAAAATAATTCCAATAGTTCTTTTAACTCGGGTTAATTAAACATCTCAACTTATCCAAGAGCACATTAACACAAACCTGACAGGTTACAGCAAGAGTGTGACAAAGCTGTGTCTTCCCTGTTCTGAATTCACCAAAGATTTCTGTTATTGACCCCGTTTCTATACCCCCTACAAAACAAGCAAACCAAAAAATTATGGTTCCCTGCTTTTGGTGCCTTAGTTGCTGGGATGCAATTTATGACACATCATAACTGTCTTGATTTTGTGTCCTGTCTTTTCAGACCATCATAAAGAAAAAGATTATGGTGAAGATTTAAGTTTCTTAAAACTGCATCAAACTTCAAGATCAAGGTCATGAGGTCAAATATCATACAATGTAATATAATCAATATTGTCTTGTCGAAAGTAAAGCACATGTGAAAAAAATATGAGAGCCCTTCCTCTTCGGGAGCAAAAACTGTGGCCAAAGTTAAAACTTTTGATAAGTCAAGGTCATGAAGTTAAACATTATAGTTCTCTCTGAAAGGTATATTCTCTCATTCAAAAGTTGTCACTAATGTTAATATAATCGATAAATAGATCAAACCTCAAGGTTAAGGTTTCAACATGCTAATTCAGATAATTTGCATCCCCCACTTAAGGAAAGAAGAGGGTGGAAGCAATGGACAATTTTTGCAGATAGAGAAAGAAAAAAGGTCAACCTTGACCCTTCTTCAGCTTTTGGTCTTAAAGTCAATGGGAGTCTTTTTTAAAGATAAAGAAACTCATGACCAAAAGTTTCATTGCAAAAGCTTACAGAAAAACTAAAATTATTATCTGAACTATATATGCAATCTATATTTCTGACCTTTGACCTTTTGACCTCACAATCAATATGGTTTTTTTAAGGCCAAAGGGAGTTGCGATATAAAATTTCAGTACAAAATCTGACAGGCTTTTTAAGATATAGTTTAGAGAAAAAAAAGTATTACACAGAATGTATGAATTTAAGACCTTGACCTCTGATCTTTTGACCTCAAAATCAAACTGGGTCTTCTTTAGGACATAAGGAGTTGTGAAATTTAATTGCATTGCAAAAGCTCAAAGACTTTTTAAGATATCATCCGGGAATGAAAGTGTTCTCACAAACAGAATGTAAGAATTTATGACCTTGACTTCTGACCTTAAAATCAATTGGGGTCTTCTTTATGTTAAAGGGAGTTGTGATATTAAATTTTATTGAAGAAAGCTCAAACAAGTTATCATCTGGAAAATGATATTTGTAATGTAAGAATTTTTTACCTTGACCTTTTGACATCAAAATCAATGGGGTCTCTTTTTTTTAGGCCATAAGGAGTTGTGATATAAAATTTCATTGCAAAAGCTCAAAGACTTCTAATGACATTGCCTGGAAAAGGAAGTGTTACACACACAGAATATTTGAATTTCTGACATTCACCTTTGACCTCAAAATTGCTAGGGGTATGATATTGAATTCTATTAAAGAAAGCTCAAAGAAAAGTAAATTTATCATCTGAAAAATGTTATTTATAATGTATGATTTTTTTTTACTTCAACATTTGACCTTTTGACCTCAAAAATATACAGGGGACTTTTTGAGGCCATAAGGAGTTGTGACATAAAATTTCACTGCAAAAACTCAGAGACTTTTAAAGATATCACCCAGAAAAGAAAGTGTTATACACAAACAGAATGAATGAGGCCATAGGGAGTTGTGGTATAAAATTTCATAGCAAAAGCTCTAAGGCTTCTTGAGATATTGTCTGCAAATAAGAGCAGAAATATTATTGTGGAAATAATACTATGTCTGATTTACATGTATTTAGTTACAGTTGAACTTCAGTATCTTGAACACGGATATCTCGGATACCATGGATTTGTCGAAGTCATTTGAAGTCCCAACTGCTTATTCCTTAAGTATTTTACCCTAAATATCTCTAATCCTCGGATATCTCGAAGTTTTTTCTCGGTCCGTTCAAGTTCGAGATAACGAGGTTTGATTGTATTTGAAAAATTTATATTTACATTTGCAAATGTCTTTCCTTATATGACAATACGAATTAAATTGACATTCAATTTTCAATGACATGCAGTTGGTCATGTGATCAGACCCTCTTGCGTATAGAAGGCAAACTGCGCGAGCCATTTGGAAAGTTCCGACTGTGACGTCAAAACGTTGTAGGTACGTTATGCTGCATTTTCATAACAAAGTCTAAATAGAGCGTATTTTTCTTTGTAACACAAATAAAAGTATAAAATATAAATATAAGAAATACAAGATGTGTTTGTGAAACACTGATGCCCCCGTATGGCAGCTTATGGCGAAGGTTAAAGTTTCTCAAATGCAAGTCAAAATCCAGGCCAAAAGATAAAAAATGTTAAATTTGAAAGCCCTAGCTGCAACTGTTCAAAAGTTATGGCGAAGGTTAAAGGTTTTTAAAAGTAAGTAAAACATCAAGGTCAAGGTCAGTTGTTGGTATCTAAAGGAAGGTTCTTGTCACAAGGATTACATATGGTTAGTATGAAAGCCCTAGCTGCAACCATTCAAAAGTTATGGCCAAGGTTAAAGTTTTTTGAAAGTAGGTCAATCTCCTATGTCAAGGTCAAAGGGTCAAAGTGGTTGGTATCCAAAGGAAGGTCTTGTCACAAGGATTACATATGTGAAGTATGAAAGCCCTAGCACCAATCATTCAAAAATTATGGCCAAGGTTAAAGTTTTTCAAAAGTAGGTCAAACTCCTATGTCAAGGTCAATCAAAGTGGTTGGTATTCAAAGGAAGGTGATGTCACAAGGATTACATATGTGAAGTATGAAAGCCCTAGCATCAACCATTCAAAAGTTATGGCCAAGGTTAAAGTTTCTCAAAAGTAGGTCAAACTCCTAGGTCAAGGTCAAAAGGTCAAAGTGGTTGGTATCCAAAGGAAGGTATTGTCAAAAGGATTACATATGTAAAGTATGAAAGCCCTAGCTCTAACCGTTCAAAAGTTATGGCCAAGGTTAATGTTTTTCGAAAGTAGGTCAAACTCCTTGGTCAAGGTCAAAGGGTCAAAGAGATTGATATCCAGAGGAAGGTCTTGTCACAAGGAATACACATGTGAAGTTTGAAACCCCAAGCACCAACTGTTCAAAAGTTATGGCCAAGGTTAAAGTTTTTCAAAGTAGGTCAAACTCGAAGGTCAAGGTCAAAGTTGTTGGTATCCAAAGGAAGGCCTTGTCACAAAGAATACACATGTGAAGTTTGAAACCCCAAGCACCAACTGTTCAGAAGTTAGGCCAAGGTTAAAGTCTCATAAAATTTTGCAAAAGTGGGTCAAACTCCAAGGTCAAGGTCAAAAGGTCAAATATGATGGTACCCAAAGAAAGGTCTTGTCACAAGGAATACACATGTGAAAGATGAAAGTCATGGTTCCAACCAATCAAGAGTTATGGGCAAGGTTAAAGTTGACAACAGACAGACAAACAGACAGACAGGACAAAAACAATATACCCCCAGGATCTTTCGATCCGGGGGCATAAAAATATCAATTTTTAGAGTTTCATTGGGATATGACATGAAGTTGGTATGTGATCAAATCTACTATAACGCCATTCGGGCATTATAGGATTCATGTCATATCCCAATGAAACTCTAAAAATGATATCTTATTTCTTAAGTAACTGAGGATGCTGGATCTGACGTACATTTGATCCAATTTTCTTTTTCAACATGTAAGTATGGCCATGTTTTTTTATGCTCAATTTACAAACCTTGAAGTAGTTTATCAAGTTCCTTTGATCCTGTTGTAACTTGAATGATTTCTGATCGCTTTTGGTGGAACTCTGTGGCTGTGGTGAAACCCATAGGTACCAGTTTAGCAGCTTCTGCCTGAAAAAAAAAGAGGATAGATAAAAATAAGACTTCCAATGCTTTCATAGAACTACAACAGTCAGGGGTGAGACTGAAATCCGTCATTTCTGAAAAATGATGGATAATTGTCATATTTACTAACTACGTATTTTCGTCATTTTTGTCAATATGACTTACTATCGTCATATTTTCTTTTTCAACTTAATTCTTCTATCCTGGTTACATAAAAGAGAAATTTGAATTCACCGCTGAGAGAAGAGTGTTTACGCAAGTTTCATTTCATCCTGGTCACTAATTACTGCCGACCACGTGCGTTAGAACATCAACATGGAAGGTGAAAGTTATTATTTAGTGGTAAAATGTCGTATTTTGGTAGAACTAATTCGCCATTTTTACATGGCTTTTAGCCCTATAAAAACATACAGTACACCGTCTGGAAGAATACGTACTTGTAGAGAAAAGTCTCGACAAAAAGTTAAAGCCATAAAAAAGTAGTACGCCCCATAAAACCAGCAAGATATTTCAGTGCGCCCAGACCCTCCATTTTGAAAAAAGACGGAATATCGTCATTTTCGTCTTCTTTCCTATTTAAAGCAAATAAATTGACAAATAACTCTTCCACTTTTATTTTTGCTTGGGAAATTTGTACTGTCAACATAACCAGTATTGTAGTCAACTGTATTAGAGAAATGAAGTTTGTTTACAATGTTTTTTGTCCTTTTTTTGGTTGGTGGATCTAACATTTTTCAAAGAGAGGTAACTTGGTATTCTAAAAACACTCTAAATTTTTATGACTGTTTTTCGTCATTTTCTTAAAAATGACGAGTTTAAGTCATAATAAAAATTTTATTTTATGACGAAAAATCGTCATTTTAAAAATGACGGATTTCAGTCTCACCCCTGACTATACAATGTAATAGTTCTAAATCATTATGATAGAATTAAAGTGCAGGACATTTATTCAGGGGCATCGTTCAAGAAAGTTCCAAGTACTTTTATAAGTCATGACATTTGAATACTGTAAGTGAATGGGAGCAAAAGCAAAAGGAGATACAGTCAAACCTAGTTATCTCTAACTCGATGGGACCAAGAAAAAACTTCAAGATATCTGAGAATCCGAGATACCGAGGGTAAAAATACTTAGAGAATAAGTGGTTGGGACTTCCAACTCACTTCGACACATCCATGGTATTTGAGATATAAGTGTTCAAGATACCGAAGTTCAACTGTATATACCATTCTTTTCACATTTCTCTCTTACCAAAATTTTATCAGCTTTTGCTTCACTTATGCCTTTGATTGCAAGTAAATTTTTCTTTGGTGCATATGCAACTGCCTCCACAGTGAAGTATCCAGCCTCTTCCATTTTCTTCACATCAGCAGCACTAATACCATTAGCCTGCAGTTTGAAAATTTAACATTTTATTATTAAAGACAAGTTTGCTCTAAACTCGGTTTGCTCTAAACTTGGATCCCAAGTATAAAGATTTTAAAGAACACAAACTGATATAAACTAAGATGTGTTTGTGAAACACTTATGCTTCTGCATATGGCAGTTCTTATATGGGCAAGATTAAAGTTTTTCAAAAGTATTTTAAATTTTAAGGCCATGAGGTCAAAAAGTGTTGGTACCCACATATATTATACATGTGAAATATATTATGCATTTCTTTAAGGTGTTTCTTTTAGCATTACGTCAGATTCTGAGCTACTCTTTGTTCTATTCCATCATTTTTGTTCATTGGTTATCTTCCTGGCTGCTGATTAGTTGAAAATGGCCAAGGTTGAGGTTTTTTTTTAAAAAGGTAGGTCAAACTCAATTGCCCTGAGGTCAAAAATGCTGACACTCAAAGAAAAGTCTTGTCACAAAGAAGATACATGAGGAATATAAGGCGTAATAAAAAAATATGTTTGTTTACGGTTACCGACCGACCCTATATTTTATTGCTGACCCAAATTTTTTTTGTCGTAAAAATCCAGAATTCACTCGCCGGTCACTTTAACTTTTACATGCATCTTAATAGGTCAATAAAATTGAAATAGAAATCGAAAGTACTAGAATCAAAATGGCATGTTTAATTATCTACATCAACGTGTTTGTGTCTATCGCCCATATGGCAAGCCCAAAAACTAAAGTAAAGCACCACACAATGGTAAAACTGTTTTGTATTTCAACCAATTCATGTAAATTTGTGTATAAAAAAATTCAATAAAAAAAAAAACCTACCTACCGACCCTCTTTTATTTCAGCATGTAACCGCAGGGTTGTGACTCACAAATGCGAGTAAATTTTGCTGTGGGCGATTAGATATTAACATCCATTCTCTGTAAGGACCAAAATTTTACTGTAGGGCTGTGGCACACACCATGAGCGATTTTCATGAAACTTTCTCAGGTGATTAATGCCCATACATTATGACATAATCAACATTCAAAATTAAGGTTACTACCTTGGTTGCCATGGTAACGGACTAATATAAATTTTTGCCCCATTTACTCTCAATTCAAGCATAAAAATGCTATATACTTGATTTCATGTGGTTTAATCATCTTTATTATTTTGTGATAATTCATACATTATATGAATAGAACAAATGAAGCACTTTATAACACAATAAAAAAAGATTCTACAAGTCACTGGAAATTCTTCAACTGATGGCTCAAAGATGACCAAATTCTTACATTTTGAAAATGGTGGTTTTTACTCTATATTTCAATAAGTCTTTCAAGAAATGCAGGCAATTCATGAAAAAATCACCTGAAATTTTAGAAACACCATAATAATATTTGTTAATTTTTATGAAAAATAGAGTGGGGATTTTTTTCGTTTTTGGTATTTTCAACGTCGAAATTTGGCATTTTGCCAAATAATATTTTGTTCAAAATGTTACTAGACACTGGTTGTTTTACAAAATTTCTTTTCCAAACATTTTTCTCACGAATAGATAAGACAAACGGAATGATTAGTAAATATTATTAAAGATAATAAATAAGATAAAACAAAATTAAATGAATTATTATTGTTTCTCTATGATCCTTTACAAAGGGCAGATAACTCAAAATCTAAAGAAAATTAGCTATTCAACTTTTCACTGGAACTTACTTCAGTAAACAACATTTTCAAATACTAGATAAAAAATGGAAAAAGATAATGGATAAAAACTCTAATGATACTTTTCAACCAAAAAATAATAAATAAATAATAAATTATTACTCTCTCGTGCATAGGTAGGTAGATATTAATTTAGCAGGTTTGAAATTTGATAAGCTGATGTTAATTTCCTCCATTTAAATATTGCATGTTCCCAGATGCAAATCTTTAGATATCAATTTTATTTGGTTAAAGAAATTTAGAATTATTTAGACTGACCATAAATTAACACCCCATTAAAAATAAAACATTAATGTATAGTCTTACAATCAGAAAACATACACATATTCATGTGTATATGTATAATTTTATTGTTACTTTTAAAAAGTTTTATTTTTTTCAAATTATTAATCAAGCAAGAATCTACATCTAAACATTATCCAAAATGTGTATTTAGAGATAAACAAAATGTACAAAATAGCTGCTATGTAGCAATTTTGTAGACAATTAATAGAAACAGCTAGGCTTGATGTTTCCATGATTTCTCTTTACACCAGAGGTTGACCATTATATGGTGTTGTGTCTGACCAGTCAAGAAGAATTTTAAATGGGTTTGAAAAGTGATATTTGAAGTAATCATCTTCATCTTTTCCCCTGGAATAAAAAACATACATGTATACTTTAATTAAAAAAGCAATTGTTTAATATTACTACATTTTTCATGTGATAACAAATACAAGTATATAAGCATATCTATTTTTATTAAAACGTATATAATACTAAGTTAGTAGTTAGTATTTACACCTTGAAATAAATTGCATCAAAAATCCTGTATGTGTACTTGAAAAAGCAGGCTTCCTATCATAGGTGCTTGGGGATGGGACCCCCCCCCCCTCCCCTGTGTTCCATACCCCAAGGGTTCTCCCTGACTTTTTTTATATAAAATATTTTTCTGTGACACATTCACAAAGTATTACAATTGAAAAATCCAAAATATAACCTAAAAACTAACCTTTTATAAAAATTCATACTCTCGGATACTAAAAGAGAACTTTTAGTATCAGAAAGTATGAATTTTTATAAAAGGTTAGTTTTAGATTATATTTTGGATTTTTCAATTGTAATACTTTGTGAATGTGTCAAAGAAATATATTTTATTTGAAAAAAGTCAGGGAGAACCCTTGGGGTATGGAACATGGGGGAGGGGGTCCCATCCCCAAGCACCTGTTCTTCAAAATTTATCGCCTTTAACGCAGACAACAATTTGCTAATTAATGAATACGCAATAAATATAATACATGGCGCAGACGTTTGTAGCGCTAATTCATGATTATGCCAACCACTCCATACCCAGTGATTGCGCTAAATTTTGAATACGCCAATTTATGTACATATACAGTATTTTCAGTGTAGCCAATTGCAAGATAAAAGTAACTGAAACAATTTACCATCACCTACTCCAAAAGCTGTCCCCATGTTCTAACAGAATCTTCTCCAAAAGAATATTGTTCAGTTAAGTTACAGTCCGATGGTCAGTTCTCACGGTCATTTGCAAGGTTTCTGTCTCCATTAGTCAATTTTTTAACTGCCTCCTGCTTCTGGTATATAGACTTTGTGTTGAAATAAAGATGATAAAAACACAAGAATAAACGTTCTCTTTAATCAGTTATTTCCCAAGCATTTGCAACTATATCGATCATTACTGAATATGGGATATTTCTATTTGTAGTTAATTTATACATGTAGGCCTATGCAATTTTCTTGTATAAATCATATGCATAAGGGATATTCATACAAGTCATCAACACTATTTCATATATATATTGCATATTAAATAAATTTTATACATATTCAGTGTATGAACTTGTACTCACAAGGGAAACTTTCCTAAACAAGTTTTGAATGAATATTTGTAAATTATACCCACCATAAATTTGCTTGTGAATTAAGATTATCTTAAAAAAGTTTAATAAAACATACATCATGCGAAAAAAGAAAATTGAATTAATTAAATTATAGTGTACTTACAGTTGCTCATATATCCTTCATCGATGTACTATTTGAGTGCAACCTTTCATAAGTGATGTTCCTGTGTCACAGTCCTAAAATGTAACAATACATAGAAGTATAATCAACAACCAATTTGTATTTCTTTTCATAATTGCTACACCCCAGAATCTGTCAAAATCATGACTTTTATAAAGGATTTGATAAATTCATTGTGGTAGTTGGCATTAAAAAATGAAAATTCCATATCCAGACAATTGTAATATTAAAAAAAAAATCACCTGCTTTTTACTGAAAATTATTTCTCTATGTATCTTTTCATCTTCTTTTTTTCTTTTCGAGGCACCAGTACATTTAAAATATGTTTAAAATATTTTTTTTCAAATTAAAGAAATTCATTCTTATTGTCAATCATGAATACATACATTTACATGGGTATATTATATTTATATCTTATTAGTGTGTATTTATAGCTGCAGTTAAATATGTTTTGTTCTTTTACAGTGAATATGAATTATATGACTTCTTTTTAGGTTAAATTTTTTTTTATGTGTTTCAGTTAAGTCAACCATCTCTAATTTTTACCCACCACCTACCACTACTACTTTTTTGGCCAAATCAGATTTTAAACTGTACCACTGTCGGATTTAGAGGGGGGCCCAGCATAACCCACCCCCTTTCTTGTCCAAAATATATCATCAGATTTAATAAATCAAAGTTTTGGTGTGGCCTTGAGCCCCTACCCCAACACCAAACTGGTCCCTCTCCCTTTTCAAGATTCCTGGATCCGCCACTATGTACAACGTTACCAAAAATATATATGTTTTTTATATTGCCTTGTGTATATTTTTGATTAATGCTAAAGTAAGTTGCTTTCTAAAGCAAGCAAAAATTCCTATAATGCAAATATATTAATAAGATATATATCTGGAATGTCCTGCTAACATGGTGATCTTTGAATATAGACCAATTAAGTCTATTATATAAAAAAAAATATTTAATTTAAAAATTATGTCAATTTAATTGAAAAAGCTTCTTACATGTAGTTTTTATACAAAATGAATATTTGAAAAAATTCAAATTTATACCTGTGCCTAGGGTTGTTCTAACCATTCCACTGACTGTCGTATCTTCTGCTTGTTGTTTTCCTCCAATTGCATCTTGCATTTTTCTCATGAGTTTTAGAGTACATGGGATCCCACATGATGGGAATGCAAGTCAGACTTCATAAAATTTCAATATTTCGCAAAGTGAATTTGACTTTAAAAAATCTATTATTAATAAAGACCTGTACATCATTATCAAGTTGAATGCTGAGAAAGCAGTGTCTCCTTAATTCATTTGATGACTTACTTTGTCATTCACACCTGAATTCCATTTTAACAAGAAAAGATATGGGTTACCCCATATCCAAGATATTCGACTTTTAATTTATTCGCATTTTCATTGTGCTCAGATGATTTCTAATAAAAAACAAGTATTTACATGTACTGACAAAACGTCAGAGATACTCAAGCTGTAGAAGTCAACTATAAAAGTGCCATAAATATCCTAAAATGACATATTATTTAGGCTACTGAGTTTCAACATCTTTTGTTGAATAAAATATGCATGTACTAGGAAACAACCTGTATGTACATATATATATATATATATATATATATATATATATATATATATATATATCGTTACATGCTTGTAGTGACTTTATCACAAAGTTGCACATGCATAAAAAATAGGTTTAATTTCACATAGAAGATAGACTAAATATAATTAATCGTATAATTTTAAAAATGTATTTAACACCTCACTCATAATCCAAATAGCATGTTACAGGCATAGCAACGTTTTCAAAGTGAAAGGGGGGGGGGCTCCGAAAAAATCCCGCGTACTATGGGCCTGTGCTACACGCATCTAACTTTCCAATGATAGAATCTTCTGTGAAAAAAATTCAAGCCGTTATGGATTATCAAAGATAGCCCAATTTTTTTTTTAAATAGCAAAACTATAGATCTATCAAGGATAGATTTTAATTTATATTTTAATTTTGTGCTATTAAAGTACTATCACTCAAAGTATAGGCAGATGTTAAAGATGGGTCAACCTGTCACCTTTTAGAGTAATCAATGAACTCGTCCAGAGATGCATTGACGGTGTCACGGCCGTTGTTTAAACGCAAAGGAAATCGCGAGATTGGTTGCGGCTGTGGAGCAATACTGAATAGTCCTTCGTCATAGAATAGAATCCGACATTTAACACTTAATATAGATTTTGAAGATACAGACGTTTTGAAAACTTCATTTTGTTTCAAGAAATGTTTTTATTTACAAAAATAGTATATTTTCTTGATTAAAAACTGAGTAAATCGATGACCTACCATCGTTTTAGATAACTCAGTCCCTCTAGCCCAGTCTAAGGCTTGAGTAAAAAACCTGCATTTGTTATGAAACTGGTGTATAGTTCTAAATTTCTTCATGTCCGTAGCAAATACTGATACCCAGTCTACATGATTTAAGCGTCACTAGCGAACGGTGCACACACCTGTGCTTGCAAGATCAAATAGCCTAGGTCTACACACGTTCGAAGATCCTTTCCGACGAGCTTGGAAAATCACGTTGCTTTGCCGAGAAGTTGCGATTGCAGGTGTTTAACAATAATAACCATTCCGTTGCTTAAAAAAGAGGGGAAAAAACAAACAAACAGTTAATGATTAATATTCTAACTCAAGAGAAAATACACGGCAATTAACGAACAATAATCATGACAGTAATATAATTGGTGAAAAGATTTATCATTATCAATCGAAGTATGACCTATATATTTCGTGAAAAAGACTGAGGAGGCAGCGAGCGTAGGAATACGAAAACTTTTTCTTTGCTTTTCTGGGGAAAAAGTGATTTTCTTAAAATCTTTTCACGATAATTTTGTTTTCTTTAACGTATTAGATATTCATCATTATTCTTAAAATTTGTTGTAATGTTGTATCTGCTGATCATGAATGGAACTATTTTCTTTGGAGCAATTGTGTGAAGAGTACCTGACTTTAGTAATATATCTTGAATAGATAATATGCACTGATCGAATATATTAAAAAGTTGAAAAACACATCATTTTTCTGTTATTGTTTCATGTTTATTTTTCTGGCGTCTGTTTTTGCCACATGTTGTTATAAACTTGTTTAGACTTCAATACAGGAGAGTCAACAAAGGGAAATAACACCAGTTTAATTTTTTTGTCTTCAGTGCAAAAGAGTCAGCAAAGGGAAATAACTCTAGGTTAATTTTTAGGAAAATTTATAATTTGAGGGGATTGGAATATGACTTTTAACTGATTTCCCCACCTCAAATCTTTTTGCATCTTTTAGATCTAAGCTCGATCTTACTAAAAAGATCTTTTTTCTAAGTTTTAATTGCCTGCAAAAATTAATATGCATATCAAGAAATAGGCACCTTTGTATTCATTTTTATGACAAATTCATGTAAATTGATCTGTATCATATTAAAAACCTTGGGTTAAATTGAATAAAATTTAGATGCACAGAAACTTTAATTACTTAGCTATAAAATGAAACCCATATTATGTTGATAACTTTCCTACATTAAGGAAGCACGGAATTATTTTACATGGTGATGACAATCAGGTCAGTTTTGCCATAACAAAATATTTCAAAGTCGTTGCTATGGAAACCAAGGAGGTACTGTCCAAAATTTACCCACCAATAGTCTTTATATAGGGCACTCTCTAGTATTATAGTGATAAAATAAAATTCCATGATAGTGCGTGGCCAAGCATTTTTGGTCCTTACAGAGAATTGATGTTAAAAATCTGGTCGCCCATATGGCGAACGATTTTTTTCTGGAACATAATCACATTTCACTTTTATATTTTATGTATTTTTAGTTTTCAAGAAAATGTTCTACTAACCTAGATTATTTGTGATGCGTAAAAGCATATTATTCAAACATATACGTGACTGAGATCAAACATGGCGATTTATCGAAGCGGTGAAATCTCCGTTAAATCTAATGATACGAGAGCAAATGTTTGAGATTGTTCTAATAGAAATCATGTAACAATCGGCTATAGTTGTCACACACTCCATCCGAGTAGTTATTCACAGATAGAATTTGAATTACCATGTCAAATGCACACAATAAAAGACAGGGATCAAACTTCATCACAGGTTGCATGTAATTTCTTATTAAATATGCCCCCTTCTTAAACCATAGACGCTTCAGTTGTATAAGGTTAAACACTACAAAATGTAATGACATATTATCGGATCGAAGTTTTTAGAAAAGAGAAAACATGATAAAACTTCATTTACTGCGAACATATCCAAACTACGAATAAAAAAATCAATTAGAAAAATTTGGGATTGTTCTTGTTGTTACTTTTAATTGACATATAATGTGGGCTAGTGAATCACATTGTGGGCCTGTAAAATTTGAAAAGTTAGGAGCACACATGGCCCCTAAGGTTTCAAAAGTTAACCACAACCCTGAACCGTAAACAAACATGTTTTTTTATAACGCCTAAAAGCCCTCCAATCAACAGTTCCGAAGTTATGGCCATGGTTTAAGTTTTTTCAGATGGACAGACCAAAAACCATATGCCCCAAATGTCAAGGGCATTACAGGGTCATAAAAAAAGAAACTATCAAGTTCAGGGTTCTCCATCATTTCAAATTTAACTGTGGCGCAAGACTTACGCGAAGTGCTAATATTCGCGGTCATTCGCGAATGATTCCGCGAAGGAACCACGAAATAAATTGAAAAACACACAACCCAAATGAATCAATAGTTTAATACACAAATGTCATTTATTATTTGGCAATTTGATTTATACATTTATTAATAAAAGCAATTAATCGATATCGATTAAACATAGTGTAAAACAAAAATAAGGATGTTTCTATAATATATGCATACTGTGAAAAAGACCCCCAAACATAAAACCCTATTTTAAAAAAAAATTGTTTACAAAAGGTAAATTATAGAATGTTCATTAAAGGACAGAGGAAATTCTGGTAAGTCACACATTACGCTAACATCTATATATATTTGCAATTATCGGTCTGAAGACTGAAATATCTTCAAACTTGGGAATTAAAAAAAATACTTAAGTAGTTTAGTCATAAAATAATATTTTGGTGAATCTATCGTTAATTTTTCAACATTACAAAAATACATGCAATTTTAGAGACATGGTTTTCTGTAGAACTATTAAAGCATGAATTAATTAATATTAAAAATTTCATTTGCAATTATGTGAGGTGTGAAAAATATGGCTTGTCTCTTTTCATTCAAATGTCCAGCGAGGACTAGAAGATAATTGCTTGTGCAAGCCAAACAATGGGCCCTAATTAGAGTAAATTAACGTTTTAACATTAGAAACTGAAAAATGTTACATAATTTGGAGGTTCATTTGGTTTTTAAATTTATATATTTATCTTACTGACAACGACGATCTTACTATGGCGCTAATATTTTAACTGTGGCGGAACTATGGCGCTGATTTTTTAACTGTGGCGCTAAGGAATTTAACTGTGGCGGGGCCGCCACGTTAAACGGCCCATGGAGAACCCTGCAAGTTTATCCAGAATAGGAATCAATCATCCAATTTAAAGCAGGTGTATTCTACAGAGTTCTGCAACAAATTTATTAACCAACCTCCAAGCGATTCAGTGGCATAGGACCAAACGTTTCATCCTCCACTTCAACAGCTTCTTGTTGTTGTCTTGCTTGCATTGCCATCTCTGATCGGTATTATGAACAACTATAAGTAAAGAATACTTAAAAAAACTTAAAATACAGTAATAATGCAGTTACATTATTAATCTCAACATTATGTTTTTATGTAACATTTGACATATAATTTCCTGATAAAGTTCTACTGCATTTATCATACCATAACACAGATGAAGAGGTATATAGGTTAAGTAATGATAGGATTTTAACGTCACAAACATTAAGGTCATATAAATGAAACATCATTAACGAAAAACAAACTTTGACTATCAAAGTTTATGCTCACATTGAATAATAACAGTTGCTCCATCAATTTTCCTATACAATTAAGATGAAAGCGAAACCAGAATGTACTTGATCCTCAAAAATTCTCTTTCACTCTCAAAAATTAAATTCAAAGGGTCATTATGACCCTTGGTTTTCAAAATTAGCAGAAACACTCCCATAGGATATAGGCTTTAAATCTTTCATTGGCTTAATCCTTGGTATATGTACATACATGTGACTCTCGATAGCTCAAACTCCAATCTCTCAAAGTTCTTGATCTCTCGAAGTGAACCTCCGGTCCCGTTTTTTCCCTCTATATAACTAAGCAAATTTACTCCTATTCTCTTGAACTCCCGATCTCTCCAAGTTCTCTATCTCTCGAACCAAGACCTGGGTCAAGTTACACATATTTCATTGTTTTTTACTCTCTATCTCTCGAAGTTTTGATTGCGCATGTATACACGTCAATCAAGCGTAAAATTAATTCAGCTTGGACTTATCTGGATAACAGTGAACACCTGGGTTAAATTATCATGTTAATTGGGTGTTTACATAGAGGAGTTGATATAATTAATCGGTTAATTGGTAAATTATAAACAAATCGTTTCACAACTTATTTTGACTGGAAGAGATGAAAATTTTGAGAAAATAATTCAGGGACGTGTCAGTAATTTTCCATAGATTATGAACTTTAATATTATTAGAGTCTACACAATCCCAGTTTGGCAAACATTGCACAAGAAATCCTATCTCAAGAATTGTATACCGATTACGAGCAATCTTGTGAAGGACTGATCAAGCCCGCGCCCAGGGTTAGCAAAATTGACAATTGCTATTCAGGTTTCATGTAATCATGAAATGAGAAAAAATAAATATTGAAACTTATATTAAGGCCAAATAAAAAAATATGTGTGGTTCCGGTTACCCGACCGTCCCTATTTTATACCCCCGACCCTAAACTTTTTTTTTGGGCAATTTTCATATTTTTTCCGGAATTTTCCCCAATTTCCATTAATAGCTCCAGTTTAAGTTTTAGTTTCAGCAATGACAGCCTCCTTGCAAAACATAGTGCAAGTGTTTAATAGTGTTAAATCCGAAGCAAGCTAGCATGTAGGTGTCCCCTACCAATATTGACTAGTATATTATCACACCTCATCTAAATGCCATTTGCAAAGCAGTGATGATATTATTTAGAAAAAATTAAGAAAATCATTTTGTTAAAAAAAAAAAAAAAAAAAAATTCCCTACCTACCTACCCTAATTTTTTTGGAAGTGTAACCGGAACCACACATATTTTTTTGTTTGGCCTAATCATTTTATTTATTCAAAACATGATCATTGTTGTTGAAATCAAGTGAATTACCTGTAAAATACAAATGAAAACGTGTAATGACAGGGTTCGAAATTCACTATAAACAACTCACAAAATGCGAGTTAGAATTCCCAAATTGCGAGTTAAAAATTAGGTAACTCGCAAAAACTTGCGAGTAGATTTTTTTGGTATTGAAACTGTAGCAAAATTATATATTATGACAGAACACAATGCTTTTGATTTAAATCAGTAATTTAAATAAAAGTCACACTGTAGTTGTATTTTGTGTATTGTACAGTAGTTACTTTTTCCTTAAGTTACATGTATTAAATTTATATAAATTTAACTTTATACGAATATTGCGAGTAGTCTTATAAAATTGCGAGTTCACTTTCTTGGTACTCGCAATTCTTCTGTTCTGTAATTTTAGGGAGTTTCTAACCCTGAATGACATTATCAACATATACTTCCAGTATGTATAATAGTAGAACAATGATGATCGGAACTGAAAATTCCGGATTTTATTCACTTTCTATCTCTCGAACCCCCGATCTCTCGAACTTTTCTTACGGTCCCTTGAACTTCGAGAGATCGAGAATCACCTGTATATATATTTATGCAAATAAACATATTTTTTTGTGAATGACTGGCTTTCCACATTGTTCTTATCTATTGAAAACTTAACCAGTAATATTTACATTTGCTGTGTTTTTCTACTAAGCCAACTGTGAAATTGATTTGAATACCATTTTCGTGTATACTCACGCATAGAAATATGCATGGAGAAACTCACGCTAAAGTGACATCAAAACCAGAAGTCTCTGACGAGACTGTAGCTCTACTGGTTGTATTTATAAAGGAAGATAAAAGCAGCACTTTGACTTGAAACTTTGCAACAGCAATAAACAGAATAATGATCCTTGGTTTAGTCTCTTTTGTGGCAAGATTTATTATTATATCAGACTAAAACTGTAGGAGGAGTAGCCTTTTAAAACAATTTTACAGAAATTTTGATTTAAGTAACCATGGCAACATCATTCAACAAAATCAAAAAACAATAACACCAATTATGTATCTCTGTAGTCTACTTGTATGCCACATTATACTGAAATCAGACAAAAAGTGTAGGAGGAGTAGCGTTTTGAAAGTATTTCAAGAAAATTTCTACTTTTAGTAGCCATGGCGACACCGTTCATTGAAATCCAAAACAGGTATAGAGAATTATGTATCTTAGTGTAGTCTAATTGTGTGCTAAGTTATACTAAAATTAGACCAAAACTGTAGGAGGAGTAGCATTTTGAAGGTATTTCAAGGAAATTTCTATTTTTAGTAACCATGGCAACACTGTTCATCGAAATCCGAAACTGGTACAGAGAATAATGTATCTTAGTGTAGTTTACTTGTGAGCTAAGTAATACTAAAATCAGACCAAAACTGTAGGGGTAGCATTTTGAAGGTATTTCAAGGAAATTTCTATTTTTAGTAACCATGGCAACAATGTTCATTGAAATCAGAAAATCAATATAAAGAATTATGTATCTTAGTGTAGTCTACTTATTTGCCAAGTTATACTGAAATCAGACCAAAACTGTTAGAGGAGTAGCATTTTGAAAGTATTTCACAGAAATTTCTATTTTTAGTAACCATGGCAACACCGTTCATTGAAATCAAAAACCGATACACAGAATTATGTATCTTATTATAGTCTACTTGTGTACCAAGTAATATTGAAATCAGATTAAAACTGTAGGAGGAGTAGCATTTTGAAAGTATTTCACAGAAATTTCTATTTTTAGTAACCATGGCAACATCGTTCATCGAAATCAAAAACTGATACACAGAATTACGCATCTTAGTATAGTCTACTTGTGTGCCAAGTTATATTGAAATCAGATCAAAACTGTAGGAGAAGTAGCATTTTGAATGTTTTTCACAGAAATTTCTATTTTTAGTAACCATGGCAACACCGTTCATCGAAATCAAAAACCGATACACAGAATTATGTATCTTAGTGTAGTCTACTTGTGTGCCAAGTTATACTGAAATCAGACCAAAACTGTAGGAGGAGTAGCATTTTGAAAAATTGTTTACAGACGGACGGACAGACAGACAGACAGACAGACGGACAGACAGACGGACGGACGACGGACACCTTACTATCGCATAAGCTCTTCTGGTCTCTGACCAGTAGAGCTAATGAGCTACAGAGATGTTAATAGCGAGTGCAGCGAGTGCCGCTCGTCACTGCGCTCGTCAACGCCTGGGCAGAGAAAATTCATATTTTGCTTTGATCCAAATGATTTTTTTTTCCGCAGAATCCTGTGGTCCCATCATGCTTTGCAAATAGTGCATCTCGCAGTAAACTACGTTCTCGCGGTACCCAGAAGTCCTCCCCCAAAAAACACCTTGATTTAATGGATATATAGCAGATAAATAGATTAAAAGTTCTTTATTTAAATTTAGCACTGTTCAGACTTTGTTTTGGTTATACAACTTACATACGACATCATGTGACGTCAGAGTCTAGACGTACCAAATGCCACGTGCGGTTTGAGGAGCCCAATCTCAATTAAACCTGGAAAGGTATCTGCATTGCCCTAACAGTCGCGCAGTCAACATATTAAAAATGTAACGATATAGGGCAGGGAATAATTCAAACATTGAGTATATTTTTGGTGCTTTTGAACATGTAAAATGTAAATATAAGGAAATATGCCTATGTGACAAGTCTGTGTGATTTACACACCAATAACTCACACAAAACTTAAAAACATTCCTTAAATATACCCCATTCTTCCCAAAGTCACTTTCTTTTTTTCACTTTACAAGTTAACCATTTATTGCGGTAATTAGTTATAGCTGTAGAGAGACACTGAGAGATACTAAAATACGCCTGCCGACGCCTGCCAGGGGAAAATACGCCTGCCGAGAAAATCTATACGCCTGCCGTGTTATTTATCGAGTTAATTTGTAGTTTGTTAGATATATTACTTTTACAGACCATGTAGTTGATATTTTACCAAACCAAAATAATTTAAAAAGCACAGTTTGGAGTTTTAATTCGTTTTAAAGTTTGCATACTTCGTAGAGCACGCCTGCCGAGAAAATCTAAACGCCCGCGGTGTTGTCTCTATAATTTCTTATTATACAATATTTGATATATTACTTTTATAAAGTATTTGGTTAACATTTGACCAAACATTAATGCGAAAAATAATTTTATTTATATTTGATTCAATAAGCGTTTGATACGAGAGTTTGCAATATTAAAGGAGATAACTCTTGCTTGACAATAGGAACTGCTGTGATTAGACCACGTACCTAGTGTTTTTCTTTCTTTTTTTCCCCCTCTTTTCAATAAAAACTTTAGGTATTTGATTTTATATTCGTTTACAGAATTACGAAGGCATGTCAGTAAAAACTATGCGTTTTACGGGTAGTCGTTTTGA